TTTTTTAAATCACAGTTCAATTGGTTCAGTGATTGTTGCAGATCTGCTAAAGGGGACAACGAGGGGTTAAGGGCATTTAATTAATATGTTTGACAGCATTCCTTGGTTTAAATTTATTTTCTATTGTACACTCATCCCCAATTGTTGTGTGCATGTTCTTTGATTTTGTGATCAGCTATTCAACAGCTATAGTATTTTAGAGAGTCACTGTTGCATTATTTATTATTTGTACAGTTGTCATCCAATCTTCTGGTGGTTTGAACAAAGATGAGATTGAAAATATGATTAAACAAGCTGAAATGTATGCAGAAAGTGACAGAGAAAGAAAGGTGAGCACGAAAGGAACTGACGTTGTAGTTGAACTGAAGGATAGCCACAGTTTACTCGTTAACCATATGTTAAATGTCTCTGTATAGAGTTTTCTCTTCAGCCTTTTCAAGATGTTTTTTACACGTTCTGTAGGAAAAAACTGAAGCCGTCAACCATGCTGAAAGCATTTTACATGACAAAGAATCGAAAATTGAAGAGTTCAAAGATCAGTTGCCACAAGACGAGGTTAGTTTCACTTCAACGTGAACTTTTGCTGTGATCTAAATCAAAACAATTCATTTACAAGCTGCTAGTTTTTGACGTATTTTTTGAAAAAGACCATCCATTAATACTATAACAATATGAGACACATTTCAAATACTTTAACTAATCTCCGAATCTATTACAATACCTTATATAGTATTACTTAAAACCTTATATGGTATTGCTTGTTACCTTATATGGTTTTGCTTATTACTTTCTATGGAATTGCTTAACACATAATATGGTATTGCTTAGTTTGCCAGTTTGAAAGAGGAAATTACCAAAGTACGCGAGGTGTTAGCAAACACCGAGAATTCTTCTGCGGAAGAAATTAAAGAGCGATGTAACGAATTACAACAGAAGTCACTCAAATTATTTGAGATGGCTTATAAAAAGGTACGTATTTTCTTAAAGTCGATTCAGTGCGGTGCTTTATTTAAAGTATTTCACTTGTTCCATTTAAGTTTCCTTCGTTTTCCAAGATGGCTTCGGAAGAAGAAGATAGCTCGCATAAAGAAGATAGCTCGCAAACAAGTGAACAGCCTGAACATGAAAAAAAACAAGGCAAAAACTAAAATGGCCTCCATTTCATTTGTAACATACAGGCAATAAACGGAATTTGGTATTGATCACCAACCTTTTCATTTCAAGTTGCATGGTTATTTCATCATTCTTATCTTCAGCGTAGTATTCTGGTATATTTTCAATAGGTTCTGAAGGTGCTTCTTGTACTTGTTGTGAGTGTGATTGAGAGTAGTCCACTTTCTGCTCTTGTAACTGTAGTATGATTAATTTGAGGTCTCTGTATGTCTGGTTTTATGACTGTAGTAATCAGGATTATGATCATCAGAATTATCAGACATATAACAACACAAATGAATGAAAATACATTGTCGAACCTTTGTCTGGGATGGCGAGTCCCCTGCTTTGTAGAAAACTTTTGCCTTCTTTCTTCAACTGAGACTGATGAAATAATATATTGATCTTTTGAAGTGGTATACATGTAAGTTAAAATCAATGTCACCAATTTGAGGAAAAAACATTAACCTTCTGCAAAATCAGGTGAAATCCTCTGTTTTTAAATAAATGGTTTTAGTTCACCAGTGCTAATTTGTCAAATTCTTCCTTCTATGACCTCTTAAGACAGAAGTAGTGGTTTGTTTGTGTTGTATAAAATACTTAAAAAATAACATATATAGCAAATATTCTATAGTAGAAAAAAAGATGACAATTCTTTACCTCTATGGTTGTCATTGACATTATATCTATCATTTTGCATGTGTGCCATGCTTGGGCTTAGCTTGTAAGATCTTTACTGACCAACATTTGCAGTTATTTTAACTGACTTGAATAGCATGAGTGAGTGGCTTTTATGATTTAGTAAATTTGATCAAGGCACCTGGATTAATCATTGATATCAATGACATGTACCTAGTGTTGCTGACAAGACATGCACCTGTCTTTTTTGACAAATTAAGTTGAGTGACTTAAGTCATTCATTGATTTTATTATTTTATTACTGTCTCTGTTTACAAATTTTAAATGTTTTGAAGATTGCAAATGGGTGAAATGAGTACAAGAAGTGTATGGTCGGTATGAATGAATGTCGCAAAGTTACCGAATTAGATCACGTGACTAAAACATCATATCCAAGTCAGTGGATACTGGACTGCTGCTGCACTGCGGTGCACGTGGTGTGCGACTGCGCGTGCAAAGAAAAACAACTGTACTGAAACAAAAATTTAATAAATAGTTTTAAATATTGAATGTTATAGTGATTAAAAATAAAAGAACGATGAATTATAAAACATAAAAATGCTCTGGGAGGCCACAGAGACTTCAGAAAGTCAATGAACGACTCAATTATCAGCCCATGGTTTGTTTTTCTGACGAACCAAATACAAGATACAAGAGCATTCCAAAACCTCGATGGCAGCCGTGATATAGAATACAATTGCCCATTGATGATGAATATTCTGCAAGAAATTGTAAGTTATTTTTATACTTTTACTAATGGCTAATTGCATGTTTAATATGCTATTGGATTTAATTGAAATGTTATAAAAGCTCATTTATTCTTACCCCGTGTTCTGTAAGACTTCCAACCACTTCTGGTGAAATAAAACCAGTGATATTACAGGCAAAGTTAGAAATACCCATTAATACACTTGAATACTTTGGTGCAAGCTCACCAAGTTTGCTCCTGGACCACTTGCTAAAGTTTGATACTGTAATTGCTATGGTTGCTATGACAATAGCAGTTGAGGCATTAGATGCATAAACCATGGCAAAGATAAAGACTCCACCTATTCCAGCACCTAAAGTATGAAGAGAACCACGAAAATTCAATATTGGAGAATAGATACTGTCAATTTCACCTTGTGTATCTCTAAAATAGTTTTGAGTATTCATTTGAACATTCAAATGTTTATTTGTTAGTTTGCATCTTTAAACTTACAGTAAATGATCTGATTGGCTAACATATATAGATATTGACTAATCAGATTATCTTCCGTAAGTTTTGAACATGCAAACTAAAAAGAAAACACTTGAAAGTTTGTAGGAATATTCTAATGTTCAAATGAATGTTCCAAACTTCTTTCAGAAGAAAGTTAAAATTAACATTATGTTACCATGAAGTTTCATGTCCATTTTAGTACAACTGCTAAGGGGGTGAGTAAAATTTATTTTAAATAAAGCTTAGAAATGATGTTGGTATAATATTAAGAATACAGTTACTTCTCATAATGATGGTTTATGCAACATTTTATTCTCGTTCCCTCAACCACTTCTCTCAAGAGTCAACACTTTTTAAGAGAGTCATACTAATTATTATGGTTGCAAACTTATGAAAAAGCATGTGGTAAAATAAATCTTACCAAACAAATAAGAGAGTTTTCTGGCATTTGTTGTGCTTAAATATTTTCGTTTTCTCAACATATCTATGAAAAATCCCCATGCAGGTGTGAGAGTCCAGCTACTACATAAGGAATGGAACTAGTGAAACCAATCTGTATAAGAAAAAAACAATATAAGTTCATGATGTTTTTCAAATGTTTTCATTTACTCTTCTCATTAATTCTATCTTACAACTTGTTTTGTTCAATTTATTGCATGCATAGGTCTTATTTCCAACCATTTGAACTTATGACAAAACAAATTCATTGAGGTTATAATAGAAGATTATTCTCTTAATTGAAATTTTAAAAATAGGTACACAGAGCGTACATGTGGGTAGCCTAAATTTGCTCGGAGATGTAACAGATATTTGCAAAGCTAACATTTATATGAAATCCTTTGTTATTGGTTTAGACAACTGTCAGTGAAACAGATGTGGGTTGTTGCATTCCTTTAAGTCATAGCATTACAAATAGCGTTGCTAGTTTAAATTTCCATTAATACATCTTTTTTAAAAGTGGTTTAAAGTACATTTGTTAAGTTCTTTGTTTATATATATATTCAGCCTGAAAATCATAAAAGTCCACGAACCGTTGTTATATCTAGTTCATGAACATCCTTGAGATAGCTTGGAAATGAAAACATAAATGTATAGAAACACCAACAATCCATGAAGACGGAAGTATGATTGCCCAAACTCTTATCGATGTGAGCATACATCTCCATGGAATTTCACGAAATTTCAACTGTAAATACACACAGATGAACTGTTATGTTACAGATAAATAGTTCTTTCTGATCTGTCATACTTTAAAACTAATTAGTTTCACTACATGTATTGTATTGTTTCACTTCAATTTATGTTGTCTAGTGAATGAAGAAACAGAATATGATAAATAAATAAAGAAAATAAATCAAATATTTAAATTCAAGTAATATTGTTCAGTCATTTTAAGATATTTACTTTAGTTGTCCAGTGTTTTCCAATCTTTTGTATCTCAGACCGAGATATAGTAGGATGATCGGCTGGTTGTTCCACCCCCAGATACAGCCAACATAAATACCAGAGGACTCCTTGAGCTCCTTCAACAAATGAAAAATGAAAAATATTTTCTCGTTTAGGTGCAACAGCTAGAGCAACTTTTAACTTGGTTTGCTAAGTAATCATCACTTTTGTTATCTCCAGTTGTTTTGTTTTGCGAAATACGTCATGATTCAACAGTCAGTGTTGAAAACACAGGCAATTACCCCTTCCATCGAAATGGCTGAAAAAATATTCTAATGAAATATCTGCCACTCAAGGGTAGGGATTTTCCTATTTTCTGCACTGTGTGACTGGCGTTTTAATGGCACTTGAACGAAAGCAATAAAAGATTATCTTCTGTATGCTAGTATTCTCTGATAATTGTTTTATAAATTTATGACGTAATGATTTATTTTCATTAGATCCTTGAAGAAGCGATGAACGAAAACTTACCAAAGAAGTAAAACGGACGGCCATCCGTATGAACTACCGGCCAGAAGACCACTTATTGAGTTCGCAAAACTGTTCCCCACAGAAGACCTGCATGAGAGGATCATGGGTAAGTTTTAAATTGTTGACGACGTTTGTTTATGCAAGCTGTAGAAATCAAAATCTACTCATAAAACAGCGCTTTAAATGTTTTTGACGAAATCACAAATTTCGAAAGTACGTAGCTAAAGCTCCGTTGCGCGTGCAGTTTCACCAGCTAGCGCTGCAAATTAATATAATATTGAAAATTATATTGATTTATCAGATGCACATACTTTATATGTATCTTACGAAAGCATTTATGTACAACATAAATGACATCATAAATTACGATCATTCAATCACCTGCATATGAAACGGTGACGAAAATACTCCTTTCGTAAATAGGTGACCATTTGCTTATTAAATCAATGCTTGAACTCGCCACCAAACCCTGTGGAAAAAAAAATCACATCATGTACGACTTCATGTAAATATCAAGATTTTTCTTGATAAAGTGAATGGTTTGAACCCGGGAGTATCGTTACATGTTTGTACATGTAGATCGTCCAGGTTAGTAGAGCCTTGAGAAGAACTGTTGTTGGTTATGTTGACTGACGTTTCAAAAACCTTAGCGGTAGTCATCAAGTGCTGTCACAGTCAACATCAACATCAACATTCTTTCTCGAGACTCTACTAACCTGGACAATCTACGTCAACAAACATGCAAAAAAATTTCTTGCTACTTCCATAGGCTTACCAAGCAAGGAGGGCAGCCAAATTGTTAGAAAAACCAGGTTAATCGAGCAATTTTCGATTGGACTTAATGATTGTCGTGCATTTAGGCCAAACAATTGACGAAAAATTTTAGCGGATATATGCTCGTGGCTATCTACACACTTTCACATAAATGCGCCAGCATTAACTATGTTTAAAACGCATTTAGTGAGTGACTATGAAAACTTGAATAGGAATTTTGCTTAAGATAAAACTATCTTATCATGTGCATGCTGAATTGTTTTGTGGAATAAAACTGACTTAAGTCGTCGCAATTTAAAGGTATATATAGCACATTCAATGACTAAAATCTCATCTCTATAGTTTGCTACACACTATCAAATAAGCTTTCATAAAGCTAAAAAGTTATACCTTACCAAGAATGCACCTTCCAGTACCCGTAGTACTATAAAGGCACTGACGTTCGCCCTAACGATCAGTGGTGTGAAAAGCGTAAGAACCGAGGAGCCAAAAATTGCAATACCAAGTAGAAATGAACTGCCATACTTTGCGCAAAGCAATCCTGCCGGTATTTGAAGAGCAGTATAGCTCCAGTAAAGGGACGCCAGAATTGTACCTGCAAACGTCTATCATTGTTACCAGTTGATTGCATCTGATATGACATTTTATTACATGGTGCTAATACATGCTGGCGGCATTAGAGTACTGCCATAAGCAATATTAGATAAATTTAGTAAACTTCAAAATAATTTCTTATTACAACATACGAATGATTCCGCGACATTGTCATGAGGTCAAATAGATTGTTCGCCACCACACAATGTTAAGATCTGAAGCAAATCATTCCATTCTTGTGCACTTCTACTTTTCTTTACACAACCTCCCCACCTCCGTGTATTTATCTGTGCACAAAACTCCAATTACCCACAGCAGATATATTTTTCGTGCATTCAACGAAGACGACTTACCTTGAAGTTGTGTGCTCCAGTGGAATTCTGGCTCCTTAAAGAGATAAATGGGACATTAGTCCGTGGTTTTTACCGTAATGCTTTGTAAAATTTCCTGACTTTCACAGATTATTAGATGAATAACAAACGTAATTGGCTGTGTATTAACTACCAGCGTACAATACCGCCGCCACATACTGTATCATTTGCGAAGGAAAATCAAAATTACCAAAGCTGTGATGAAAACTGCAGCAGTAAACAAGAAGTTGACGTTGAAGTTTAAATCTAAACTTTAGCTTCTCATCTATATGTACGTATGGATAAGAGCAAGCATTGCTTTCTTTTCTTACCTCGTCTCTTGATAAACGAGATTCCGTTGTGTTATGCTTGTCATCTTCTCCGTGCGTCATTGCTACAATGGTCACGTTCACACACATCCTTATGCAATACATGTTGAAATTAGCCAGTGCAATCATAACTAAAATTATGAAACGCTTAGGGATTGCTTGAAATATCCGTATCCCAGTGACTGGTCTTGATATCCTAGTTTGCGTTGTCGCTTCTCCGTCACTTATTTCACTGTTGAAACGGGTGAAACGATTGTGTTATTACATGTGGATGGAAGGGTTTGATGGGATAAGAAAGGTTCAGCGCATGCTCAGCTGTTAATCAACCACCAAGTTATTTTCTATTGGATTCTAAGCGCTTTAATTGTGTAGATGAATAGAGAAAGTGAAAATTTTGTTGATAAAAAGCACGCTTCGTGGGACACAGTTCTACTCGAGTCTTCTTCACTTATGGCAAATGTAAATGGACGAATAGAACATGGGTATAAATAATGCCTATGACGGAAGTCTTCAGTTGGAAGTAGCAAGTTTTTAAGCTATCAAACTAACGATTTCGTTTATCCTGAATAAATTATACAATAAGCATGTTCTTACCAAAGTTCAATTTCTTCATCGTGGTGTGCCTCGCCATCCGATTGTGGAGATAAAATCTATCCATTTTGTCATGAAGTTTTTCGATGGTTGGTAAGATTCCTCCGTGAGAAGCTTCGTTAAGTCATTTTGGTTTTCCTCCTCAATTTCACCTTCAGAATTCATTTTTGATCAACTGCTCAATGTTAAATTCAAAATTGAAAATATTTTAGATGCGCAGGACTTAGCGAAGTACATAACTTTTTGTAGATTGTCATAAATTGTTATCGTCTTACCATTTGACAATAAACAAAACTTCACGGCAATAAACAAAACTTCACGGCAATAAACAAAACTACACGGCAATAAACAAAACTACACGGCAATAAACAAAACTCCACGGCAATAAACAAAATTCCACGGGTCACGGCGGAAGTGCTATCTCGGTGGAAGTACAAGATCAAATACCAAATCATCGCCATATTGCCATCGCGTAGCCGTGATCGTTTTTTATCTTTGCTTTGTAAGAAAGTTTTGCTCAAACTGTGGACAAGAGGTCGCAAGCACTTGGAATTTGTTCGAAGTGTGGTTTCTGTGAGTTTCTGCTGATGATGTTTCATATTTTAATATAATTTAAAGTTTATTTGCGTTTCTTTGTTTGTTTTCAACATTTCAGGTGCGCCATCGACCTCTTCCGCTTCGACGTCCAGTAACCAGAATAACACTTGAAAGTAATAATGATTCAGGTAAAGTTTTGAATTTATTTTGATCATTAACGGCTATTTATACTTAGCTTTGTCCCTTGTGTTGTTTTTGAATAATTTATTACTCAAGAAATTCTTTTATTTTTATAAATGCATATATTTTACATTATTGTTTATTGTTCTGGTTTTATTGACAATGCTTGGAGCTGTACTGTTTTAGCACAGTATACGCTTATCAATGTTATTATTATTATAATTGGGACAAACCACAGTTTGAACGGAGAATCGGCGAGGTTTGGAGATTTTTATGATTTTACACCAATACAGTATACCACGTGTTTGCTGCAGACAATTAAATTTCAAAAATTTTTCTCGCTGGCAATTCTTTCAATTCCGATTATTGAAATGTAACATAACGGTAGCCCGAAATTTTCACCTCAGCAAATAATTCGAGTCAAATTTTAATTGCATTTACGCGAAAAGCAAAGCATTTGTGTCAAAACCAAAATATTTATGTCAAAAGCAAAACATAGTAGTCAAAATCATAAGACTTCTGTCAAAAGTAAAACATTCGCGTAAAACCAAAAGAATTCTGACATAAACATGCAAAGCACACTTGAATGTGCCCTCAAATCAATGCTACTCCTTATCCTCAAGTTTTTCGTCCTAATGTAAAAAGAAGGTTAGTTAACATCTCAAGAGTTTCAAGTAAATGAAAATGTTTTTGGACCGCATTTATACAGGAGAGGAAATTCGAACATTGCTTGAACAGTCATATATATTTTAAGATTTGCAATCTGAAAACAGTGAGTAGTTTACTGAAGAGCTTAGAGAAGAATTCAATGAGAAAGCGACGGAAGGAAGCATTGGCATTGTATAGGACTCTTACTTATGTTGCTACTTGTGACGCATAATTGTAAATAACCATTTTTTTGAACTAGCTCAAATCATTTCAACCATCTCAGTACCAATGTTAATTGTAAATAGATGGATTTAAAAACATCAAAAACGTTTTTTAAATTTTTTCATGTGCAACACAAAGTATGAATTTAAGAAGAGCTCGTTGACTCCTGCAGGATGCTTCTTATTCATCACGATTAAGTTATCACACAGCTCTGGTGAGAAAAATGTTATGCAGAAAGAATGCATTTTCTTTTGAATTCTTGTTACTTATATTAATGTCGTTGTGGATATAACGGACGTCGAAAATAATAAAAAATAAACCAATTTGTTGACATGAGTCAATTCTTTTTTAACACAAATTTCAACATGGTTGAATCTTGTATGCTCAATGATTTTTCAGTTTCCTTAAAATGGTTTTCCTACTCCTAAGTTTCCCGATTCCCAGGTTGCCTTCAAGAACTTAGGCTCTTTTACAACTTCTGGCTAAATGAGTGTCTAAATTCATTGGTGCCGACGCTATAGCAGTGCACCATCGACTAGATCGTTCAAAACGTGATGTTATTTGTCCAATCGGAATTGATATGCAGAGGATAATTACTCTTCACTCCCTCGAGAAACTCGTTACAAAATTCGTTGCATTTCGAGATTAATGTTGCCCGCGCTTAGTTCCAAGTATGTATAACTGAGACTACGTTAATTTACACTTGTTGATATAATTTTAAAATGTTTATTTCTTATAGAAAGTTTATCTAAAAGGTTGATTTTATTTTAAAAGGTTGAAAGTAAAACAAAATCATTATTATCACTACTCTCATGATCAAAGCCTAAATACACCAGAGATATTTAACCGCTAAATATGTTAAATATTGAGGAGTTGTAAAAATCTAGTTGTAAAAAATGAAAGAATACCTTTTCACTCACAATTGTAGTGATTAAAGACAGATACGGTGCTGGTGTGACACATAAACAGAGTTGCCCACAATGTGGTTGTGAAAGTGAGATTTTGAGGGCTGGTGTTTACAGTTCAGCTAGTGGTTGCATAAGTGCTTAGAGGATGAAACCTTCACTTGCCCTGAGTGTATTTATTCTGCTGAACACAAAGGTATATAACTAGGAAAACAGCAATTGACGCAATTTTATTAATGAAGTTCAGTTATTTAGCTACCACTCACTAGAAACTAAAGAACAAATTTTATTGATTTACAGAGAACATATCAATTCCTACTTTTCTTTTTATCCAAGATCACTTACATATTTTCATGGAGGTAAATCTGATGTACCATTCTGAGGGAAGATGGAAAACAGCAACCACCTCCCCCGGGCCTGCCGGCGGCACTGGACTACAAGCTTTTAGTACTTGTGTACTGAAAGCGATTTTGAAGAAAGTGAGAATCATGATATCAGTCAAGATGAAGAACCAGAGAGTCTTGATGACCTCAACGATTGCGATCTATGCTCATTCGAACCAGTAGCAAAGAAACAATGTGTAATAGGTGATGATGAGATGATAGCTATAAAATCCAGACAAGTCTGGACGAGGAGTACGTACGTCCAGACCAGTTCTCCTGCAAGGCACACACAATGCCTACCAGTGAAAGTTTTGTGAACCATTTAAGCAAAGCTGTTGATGACACCGAGCAATTCTTCATCATTATCAGGAGAGGCACCTCTTTGACAAGAATTATCAATATATGGAAAAGAGCTGCAAAAAAATTTCACCTAAACATAAATTGGTTGTGCAATTCTCAGGAGAATGTGGTACAGATAGCGGTGCAATATCCAAAGAATTTTTGACTTTGGCAGTTCATGCTATTAAAGAAGAGTTGTTTCCTGGTGGATGTCCCACAGACTCTATGCTTAATGTGCACAATGGCACTTTTTTACTGTTGGCAAAATAGCTGCCGTAAGTGTTTGTGCAAGGTGGACCACCACCAGATTTTTTCCATTAATCTGTTTACAACCTTTTTACCAAACCTGTTGATCTCAATAAACTTACTGATGATCACTTCACAATGAAGAACTCTGAACTTTTACAACAGATAGAAAATGACCCATTGACATCTCAAGATGTTGTTATTGACCATGGATATAGTGGAATGATTGATAAGGAACATATCAGGGACATCATTGGCACTGTACGTGTTAACATAATTAGTCGGCGAATGGTATATCTTGAGGATGAATGAAAATGTTTTTGGACCGCATTTATGCAGGAGAGGAAATTCGAACATTGCTTGAACAGTCATATATATTTTAAGATTTGCAATCTGAAAACAGCGAGTCGTCTACTGAAGAGCTTAGAGAAGAATTCAATGAGGAAGCGTCTATAAATTGCTATTTTAGTTGTGGGTATGAGTACAAGGAAATCCTTGGCTTTTTATCGAAGCACCACAGTTGTAACATGAGTTACAGTAGACTGATTATTGACCATTGGTATAGTGGAATAATTGATAAGGAACATATCAGGGACATCATTGGCACTGTTCGGGTTAACATAGTTAGTCGGCGAATGGTATATCTTGAGGAATTTAAGAAAGGGATAGAGTTATTTGGTCTTTGCAAGGCTTTGGAAGATAATACTGAAATAGGCAAAATTTATTCATCTGTTAGCAAAACAAAGTCGATGCCAATTTTGTTGTTTCCACTCTCTACCCACATTACTCCGAGCAAGGTTCAAGTCGAAGAACCAAAGAGGAAGCTGTGTTTGACAACTTTCACGATTTCATAATGTCGACCGAAGATGAGTTTATTGCAGGCTTCGATGAAGAAGTGGCATGGGATGACATTGAAAGCACTGATGAATGGAACGAATGCAAGCGCAGTCAAACTGCTGATATTTCCACAAGTGCAGTCTTGGGTTTGCTTACGGGTCAAAAGCATTAACCATAAGATGGCCAGAAGCTTTCTGTATTAGTTAACTTCGATCATGATTGCTTGGAAAAGAACCTCACCATACTATTTACTTCCCTATAGTCAGCGCTTGTGCCCAGACCATCACTTTTCCTGTCTGTCATATGGAAAATCCAGAAGAATTCAAACGAATAATGTTGCTGGCATTAGGCAAGGGACAAGCATTTGCAAAACCTTAAATTCTTGAAGGCTTCTGTTTATAACCCTTTACTGACGATTCTATCTAAATTAACCACGCAGTCTTCTGTTCAAATTTGTTGCTTGAAATAAGATTTTTCCGCTAATGGAACTTAAAATGAGACGTTAAGACAAAAGATAATGCAATTTAGCATTTAAGAACTCGTTTTCGAATAAAATTTACATAATTTTATTACGATTTAGGCTTGTTCCATTCTGCTCAAATTTACGCACGTTTTACCAGTGTACCAGATGATACTGAGGCCAAAGTTTGTCGTTCTGGAAATCTTTGTTTGAACGTGTTGCGTGTTTTGTGAGCTACCGGTTTCAAAAACGTTTTCACAAGAAATGTGCCTTCTGCCATTCTTAATTGGAGCCACAGCGTTTGTAAAGTGTACAATACAAGAAGAAGTTTGCATTAAGTCTGAAGTGATGATTAGCATTTGAAAGCAATATGGGAGTAAATTTGAAAGAAAAAAAATGGAATTCCCAATGGCGGAAAATTGTAATTTTTATGAACTTTATTTGTAAAGAAATACTCCTTCATTTCGCAACTGAAAGATTCGTACAACATGTCTTTTGAAAAGTAAATAAATAGACTTAACAAAGGCTCAAAACCAAACGACTTTTCAAATGTATTCTGTGTTATTGAACCCCAAATTTGATTTGGAATTTTTTGATACACCCTGTACATAATGGTAAAATCTACAAAGTATAAGTTTGCATTAATAAATTATTTATAAATTCAGCTGATAATTTATTATTTATCAACCTCGTGGTTACTATTTTTTTAAGACAACCTTCCCCCTAAAGTTTGAAGGACCAGGGTTTAACTGAGTGTCTCCGATATAAGGGCCTTGGCATTTCAACTGTCAGGGGAACTAAATTCTAAAACTTTCCCCAAAACTTAAAAGTTCAGGCTTCAGTTCTCGCATTGAAGATGAAGATTTATCGTAATCTCTATCATTAAATATTGAAAACTTATGTTGTCATACACGACAATTCACGCGAAACACATTTTTTAAGAATTTAAAATTTTACAGTTATTGCTAACTGAATTTGGGATCAAGTTTAGAATTTACTAGCAAGGATTTCACACGTTTCTCTAAACTTATAGCAACAATTAGAACAACATTTGGGTTTCGATAATTAACAATCGTAAGTCTAGCCAATAAGGGGCTGTTTACATGATCCCGGCTAACCGGGTTCAGTGAGGCGTAAAATCATTTCGACGCATTAAAAAAGAGTCTAAACTTCAAGCGTAAAAATTACAACTGTTTGTTAAGCGCCGCAAGTAATGCCTGCTGTATATCTCAAATAAGGCCAAATTTGTTGTTCGATTTTGAATGTTATGCGTATAGTTATTAAATCAGAATATTGTGAAAGTGCTAAAGAACATTCATCTGATGATAAGTATTAAATCTTTTCCATTTGCGAAAATCATTTGACGCTTGGCTGAATCCCGGCTACCCGCGATGTAAACAGCCCCTAAATTTTCTCGTATTGTAACGGAACACCTGTATATATATACATACTATGTATATATATGTACAATTAACTGGCAACTTGTAAATATGTCATTCTTTCTGATGATGGTTTTTAAATAAAACCGAAATATTGCAGCGTAATTGTTTGTTTTATAACTTTGTGGTTACATTATGAGTTACACTAGGTTACACTATTTGAGGTTACAAGATGCCCTTTTACGGATTATGCTTATTTTGTTCCAATTAATTATATATGTCTTATTCGACCATTTTATCATATATATATAGTTGTCCAAACTCTTTGGCTCCATATTCAAGTCATTTATGTCTTAAGAATTGGAGCTGCTAGGACCAACATAATTAGTGTTTGTGTTCGATAAAAAGGCCCAGGTTTTGCCGCACTACTTTTCGTCCTCTCTTAGCTTATGGACAGACCTTTTGTGTTCACTATTCAATAAAAACACTATTGAATCAGCAAAATTTTCATTTTGTGGCAACTTATTAAAGTGCCATAGTCACGTTTGCTGCTGTGGAGGTTTCAAGTTGACGTACGTTTCTAAGGAGGAAACAAATTTTTCCGTTCGGTGTACTTTGCATGATTTGCAGATGTTCAATTAAGAAATAAAAGATGTTTATTGTGGAAATGTTAAAACCGAGGAGACCTTTGGGAGTACTCGAAAGCAGATCAGGGTAAAAACATCTTTATGTTTCTTTTATAAACTAACAATAATGTAATAAAGATAAATTCAAAGCAAAGGTTTAAATATTTCCTATAACATGTATTCATGATTCATCTGCAAATACTCTTTGATTGATTTAATTGATGAGGCCAGCTATCAACCAATCAACGCAGGCGTTTTATTGTTTTTATTTTATATAGTGCAAATTTGTCAGTTGTCATTCGGGGAAGAAAAGAATACGAATTTGATTTATTTCTTACACTATTATATTAAAGTGAAAGAATAAGCAGTGTTTCGAGGCGAACACCCTGAAAACTAAGATGGAAACCATTTTGACGTAATTTATTATTATAGAATATAAGATTGTTAGTTGAATTTTCAGGCTTGCATTAGCTAGTTCTTGTAGAAACGACCGTATGTATTGCTCCTGTCATTACGAATAGTTTATGTTCGTAAAAGTTTTATCGTGACTTGACATTCTTCACTTGCAGACTATTTAAGTTTTATAAGATATGCTAATTTTATATGTCAAGGAAATGCTAAATACAAATGAGAAGACATAATTTCGGAGAGTTTAAATCAAATGGGTGAACTACAAATGTAAAAACAGTTGTCCATTTACCGAAATCCACTGTTTTTAATTAAAAATTTTACTTGCATCGTAGCAACAGTTGCTAGTAGCATAACTAATTATTTGCCAACGAATAAAATTTTTTCTATTTCATCAACATTTCTTTTATCTTAGAAAGCAACCTGCAGTGTTTGACTGCGACTCTACGTCTGCTATGATAAGGAGCTTCACAAATTCTAAAAGCAATTACATTGGAACAGGTAGCGTCACTTTTCTCAAGACGTTTTACGGTATATTGACAAATTTCTGATTTGAACAAGTTCTTCACTCCTCTCGACACAGGTACGTCTGATTTATACGAATTTTGCCATATATAAGTAGAGACATTTGTTCAAAGTACAAATTTTTTTAATTGTTTTGTTTCTGATGTCTGATAAAATGACTAACAAAGTGTTCAAAATATATTCCTTACCTAATAACTTGAAATATTTCCAATTTGGTCTCTTTTCGTGTGGTTTTGAATGGAAAGAGGGAACTGAACTATTTTGAAACTTTAAAGGAGTAGTCAGACGTTAACACAACTATCACTCATATGAAAGTGTATATTGTTCTTACCTCATTCGCGAAATCCTAGGTTTCCAATTCAAATTTAACTCAAGAAATAATGCCTTAAATGTGTGTATTTTGCCTCTTGTTCGATCGCCATTGTGTACATGCATGCGAAGCCGCAGTCCAGCAGCGGTTTTCGTCGTTACGTCTCTGCGCGGTGATCGTTGTCAACATTGGACAAAATGTATTAGCAAAGTAGAAATTACGCATAAGCATATTCATAGTTGCATTTTATTTTCTAAGTTTTTAAATTAATTTGCGCAAAAGACGTTTGGAGAACGTCAAAGTGGAAAAATAAAACCAAAAATATCGGTTCTTTAGCGTAGAAAGTTTTTTATGCATAAAAAAGAACCAATATTTTTGCTTAACCTCACAGCTATATTCCGGTATTTTGGTTGATAGATGTTTGAGCTTCATCTAAATTATTAGTGTCCAAACAACAGTGTTTTGTTTGAAACTTTCACAATCCTTGTACCTCTGGCTTATTTCAAAAGATCCCATAGCAGAACTAAGGAATGTTGATGAATCAATTAGGTGCAAGAACTTGTAAAGGAGATATTTGGTCGCTCGCCAAGTAAGGCTGTGAATCCGGACGAAGCTGTTGCTTTAGGAGCGGCCATTCAAGGTGGAGTTCTTGCTGGTGATGTGAAAGATGTTCTTCTGTTGGATGTTACACCTTTATCCCTTGGCATTGAGACGCTTGGGGGTGTCTTTACCAAGCTCGTAGATAGAAACACGAATATTCCTACGAAAAAGAGCCAGGCTCAGTATTTTACCATTAAATTCAGCAAGATTCCTTTGCAATTTACACCACTGTAACATAGCAAATTTCACTTGTACGCTACATACGTATGATGTGATTGAAATCATCACAGTGTATCTATGAAGCTCAATTGCCATTGACTTGATCCAGTTTAAGCATTGTACTTTTTGTACATTTGCAGGTGTTCTCCACCGCAGCTGATCGTCAGACGCAGGTGGAAATTATGGCTGCAGATAATAAAACTTTGGGACAGTTTTCTTTGGTGAGTATTACAAATGTTTACTTATTTTTGTTGAACAACGTCAATGGATTTGATATTTCTAATCGTCATCGTTCGCGTTAGGTTGGCATCCCACCTGCACCACGTAGTATACCACAAATTGACGTCACGTTCGACATTGATGCTAATGGCATTGTCAACGTGTCCGCTCGTGATAAGGGAACTGGAAAGAACAACAGAAAAGTACGTCAGGCTAACGCTTTGAATGACAACGAAAATCTTTAAGACTTCATCTATGCATCTACATCATCTATCCATCTACTTCAATAACACATTTTGTCAAATGCCCATGCATGCAATTTTAATGCGCAATCTCGTATGCTTTACTGTCGTCTACGAGGACTGTAACAGTTCTGCTTTTGCTGTGTTTGTAAAGTATGTACTGCATTGAATTACTTCATAGCTGTAACGTCACCCTGGGGCGAGCGTGATTACAATCGATATGTGATAAACATGTCATCACTTAGTACCTACATACTACTTAGTAGAGTTTTCACGTTCGTATTACGGCAATAGATTTATCCATTTTTCACTAAGACAAACACATGTGTCAATACAACGGTGAAACTGGAGAATATACGTTTTTCAAGTTAAAACCACTGCAAAGAGAGTCAGAAAGAGTCGTTGCAAATGGGAAACTGGGCCGAGTTTGTGATACTGGTTACGCAAGTTCATATCCTATCATAAATTTCATTGCATCAGAACCAAAATTGCCGAAGTCTACTGTGGTTATTTGTACAGCGTGAAATCATGTCTTTTGCAATGGGTTTATCGAGATTTTCAGCAAAGAACGCTCTCAGTACTTTGCGGTGTGCAAATATCACACGTTCGTTTTCGAGGGTAAGAAAAGAATTGCTGGAAAATTGTATAGATTCTGAAATATGTTTTGGCTTGATGGGCACTTTATGCACATGTTCTGTTTTCGTGTGCTTGAAGTATGGCCTCAAAATCATCATTGACTACTGAGATTTTTTGTTTTTGTTTAGATTAATAGAAGTACATTGAGTCAAACAATCTCCACTCATAATGCACCATTCAGATCGTATGCGTAAGTAAAAAGTTTATTTAAAAACTACCAATTAATTATATTAAATTGAAAGGTTGAACGCAAAAACAACTAGCTTACCATTGCAGCTGAAATTTTTTGAAAAGGAGTTTGTGCTCCATTATATGGTTACAAAAAATTGCTTCAGTTAGTTGTTTTCGACAAAATTAAACTGAATGAGCTAACATGACGCTGCATTTTTTCTTAAGAATTTTTATCTTTTGTTTTTGGATTCAATTATGTAATGAATTATCTGTGTATGGATTATGACCCTTCATTTATTTTTTTTTTTTTCGCAAAAACTTAGTGTAAAACATTTATCGTGTATTTTCTCTTTATCAATACAATTCATTAATTTTGATGTTCAAGTGACTTTATAAATGTGCTAACAATTCTGTTAAAAGTACAATGAGCAACTAATTTTACCCACTCTGTAACAAGTCCAACTAGTTTTTCATTTGTTCAAAATTTCATCTACTTTAAGTTCTGATGTACGTGGAGCAGTTTGTGGCATTGATCTTGGTACAACAAACTCATGTGTTGCTGTTATGGAAGGCAAAACACCTAAGGTGATTGAAAATGCTGAGGGAGCAAGGACAACTCCATCAGTTGTAGCATTTTCATCAGATGGAAAGGTGCTTGTTGGAGAGCCTGCAAAACGACAGGTATAAAAAAGCCAATATTGGTTCTTATACAGACTCTGATTTGTAACTGATGCTGTCTTTTGTATAAGCAACATTTATTAGCCTAATCTATATGACTTATGCCTGATTTATTTGATTGTCTTTGTTGATAAAAAGCCAGCAGAATCATTGCAAAAAAAGTGCCAAAGTGATGGATTTAATTGTGAACTTTTAGGCAGTGACCAATCCCCAAAATACCCTTTATGCGACAAAAAGATACATAGGAAGACGCTTTAATGATTCTGAAGTTCAAAAAGATCTGTATGTATATGCTTGTTGTTAAACACTTCATGAAAAAGAATATTTTTTATTGTAACTGAATTTCCCTTTAATATATTTCTTGCAGTAAAAACCTTTCATTTAAAATTGTAAAGGCATCAAATGGCGATGCTTGGTTTGATGTTCAAGGGAAAATGTACTCACCAAGTCAAATTGGTGCATTTGTTTTGATGAAAATGAAAGAAACTGCTGAAAGTTACTTGAACACAAGTGTACAAAATGCAGTTGTCACTGTACCTGCGTATTTTAACGATTCTCAAAGACAGGTAACATAAAATTTGTCAAAGCAAAGATATCGTCATGTCTCAGTCATGTCAAAGTTCAAGTCTTCAGGTTTAATGGCTGTTTCTATGATAACCATGGATTATTTGTTTAAGGCAACAAAAGATGCCTGCCAGATTGCAGGTTTGAATGTCCTTCGTGTCATCAATGAGCCTACAGCTGCAGCACTTGCTTATGGAATGGATAGAGCAGAAGATAAAATGTATGTTGGATGAAATGATATATGACTAAAATTGCTAGTTGTGTTAATTTTTTGGTTTCTAAAATTATGTATTAATGACATCTGCTTTTATTATTTAGCTTAGCTGTTTATGATCTTGGTGATGGTACATTTGATGTGTCCATCTTGGAAATCCAAAAGGGTGTATTTGAAGTGAAAGCAACAAATGGTGATACTTATTTGGGTGGTGAGGATTTTGATAATGCTCTTCTTCAGTATCTTGTAAAGGAATTCAAAAGAGAGGTATGAAATATTTCATCTGCCCAGTATTAAAATAGAAATATCAAATGGTACAATTATTTTAAAGAACCTTGATTTTTATAACTTAAGTTAACTAATCGAATAAATTAAGCTCTCATTTTTAGTCGGGAATTGATCTTACGAAGGATAACATGGCAATTCAAAGATTAAGAGAAGCTGCTGAAAAAGCAAAGATTGAGTTATCGTCGTCCATACAAGTTTGTTTACACAATAATTGATTTGATTGCTTGCACGAAAACGATTGATTGCATGTTTAGTCATTAATTTATCCATTAACAGTTTATTTTAAATGGCATTGCAAAAGTAACTTCACTTCTATCATACTTTATAGACGGATATCAATCTACCTTACATTACTATTGGAGCGTCAGGACCCCAGCACATGAACATGAAATTAACAAGAGCGAAATTCGAGTCACTTGTTGCTGATTTGATTCAAAGAACTGTTGAACCTTGTAAAAAATGTATGAAGGACGCTGACTGTACAATGTCTGATATTGGAGAAGTGTTGTTGGTTGGTGGTATGACAAGGATGCCTAAGGTATCAGTTTGACCTAATCTGTATATTTTGTTTTGACTTGGTCGATGTGTTGAGCTGTGTGACTCCAGAATTTTATCTGGTTTTCAGTTTATTGAATTTCGGTCCATTTTTATTTCAAAAAAAAAACAATAAAAGGAAGAACAATGCATATGTAGTGCTACATTGATCGAATTATGAATATGACGAGTAGACGCCAGAAAGTTGTCCAGTTCAGCATAAGTCAACGTGTGCTTGTTTTCTATGTGTTTTCACAGATCTGTGGTTTTGCTATGTACTGTGCTGATTGCATTCTGTCACAGACCTCACACTACAAATTTGTTTTTTGTTTTCTTTTTTGAAATATTCCCAAATTGGACCCTTTTCTTGTGGTTTTAAATGGAAAGAAGAAACTGAACTATTTTGAAACTTTAAAGGAAGGTGGACGTTTGGAGGACGTCAAAGTGGAAAAATAAAACCAAAAATATCGGTTCTTTGGCGTAGAAAGTTTTTCGTGCGTAAGAAAGAAACAATATTTTTGGTTAATCTCACAGCTATATACCGGTATTTTTGTTGATAGATGATTGAGTTTCATCTAAATTATTAGTGTCCAAAAAGCAGTGTTTTGTTTGAAACTTTTACAATCCTTGTATCTCTGGTTTATTTCAATGGATCCCATAGCAGAACTAAGGAATGTTAATGAATCAATTAGGTGCAAGAACTTGTGAAGGAGATATTTGGTCGTTCGCCAAGTAAGGCTGTGAATCCGGACGAAGCTGTTGCTTTAGGAGCGGCCATTCAAGGTGGAGTTCTTGCTGGTGATGTGAAAGATGTTCTTCTGTTGGATGTTACACCTTTATCCCTTGGCATTGAGACGCTTGGTGGTGTCTTTACCAAGCTCATAGAGAGAAACACGACTATCCCTACGAAAAAGAGCCAGGTTCAGTATTTTACCATTAAATTCAGCAAGATTCCTTTGTAATTTACACCACTTTAACATAGCAAATTTCTCTTGTACACTACATACGTATGATGTGATTGAAATCATCGCAGTGTATCTATGAAGCTCAATTGCCATTGACTTGATCGAGTTTAAGCATTGTACTTTTTATACATTTGCAGGTGTTCTCCACCGCAGCTGATGGTCAGACGCAAGTTGAAATTAAGGTTTGTCAAGGTGAACGTGAAATGGCTGCAGATAATAAAACTTTGGGACAGTTTTCTTTGGTGAGTATTACGAATGTTTGCTTATTTTTGTTGAACAACGTCAATGTATTTGATATTTCTAATCTTCATCGTTCCCGTTAGATTGGCATCCCACCTGTACCACGTGGTATACCACAAATTGACGTCACGTTCGACATTGATGCTAATGGCATTGTCAACGTGTTCGCTCGTGATAAGGGAACTGGAAAAGAACAACAGAGTAAGTACGTCATGGCTAACGGTTTGAATGACTACGAAAATCTTGTCAGCGTAGCAGAGTTTACTACTGAAATATTTACGTGAAAAAGTCAGGCTTTAAGAAAACTAATAGTTTTAACTGATTTTTGCACTCTTCATTTTTTGTTAATATACAAGTACTCATAATTTCTACATTAATATGGATCACATCTTATATAAATCACAGTTCAATTGGTTCAGTGATTGTTGCAGATCTGCTAAAGGGACAACGAGGGGTTAAAGGCATTTAATTAATATGTTTGACAGCATTCCTTGGTTTAAATTTATTTTATGTTGTACACTCATCATCAATTGTTGTGTGCATGTTTTTTGGTTTTGTGATCAGTTATTCAACAGCTATAGTGTTTAGGTGAGTTACTGTTGCATTATTTGATTATTTGTACAGTTGTCATCCAATCTTCTGGTGGTTTGAACAAAGATGAGATTGAAAATATGATTAAACAAGCTGAAATGTATGCAGAAAGTGACAGAGAAAGAAAGGTGAACACGAAAGGAACTGACGTTGTAGTTGAACTGAAGGATAGCTACAGTTTACTCGTTAACCATATGTTAAATGTCTTTGTATAGAGTTTCTCTTCAGCCTTTTCAATATGTTTTTTACACGTTCACTAGGAAAAAACTGAAGCAGTCAACCATGCTGAAAGCATTTTACATGACACAGAATCGAAAATTGAAGAGTTCAAAGATAAGTTGCCACAAGACGAGGTTAGTTTCACTTCAACGTGAACTTTAGCTGTGATCTAAGTCAAAACAATTCATTTACGAGCTACTAGTTTTTGACGTATTTTTTGAAAAAGACCATCGATTAATACTATAACAATAAGAGACACAGTTCAAATACTTTAACTAATCTCCGAATCCATGACAATACCTTATATGTATTGCTTAATACCTTATATGGTATTGCTTGTTATCTTATATGGTATTGCTTATTACTTTATATGGTATTGCTTAGGTTGCCAGTTTGAAGGAGGAAATTACCAAAGTACACGCGGTGTTAGCAAACACCGAGAATTCTTCTGCGGAAGAAATTAAAGAGCGATGTAATGAATTACAACAGAAGTCACTCAAATTATTTGAGATGGCTTATAAAAAGGTACGTATTTTCTTAAAGTCGAGTCAGTGCGGTGCTTTATTTAAATTATTGCACTTGTCCCATTTAACTTTCCTTCGTTTTCCAAGATGGCTTCGGAAGAAGAGGATGGCTCGCAAATAAATTAACAGCCTGAACATGAAAAAAAACAAGGCGAAAACTAAAACGGTCTCCATTTTATTAGTAACATACACTCAATAAACGGAATTTGGTATTGATCACCAACCTTTTCATTTCAAGTTGCATGGTAATATCATCATTCTCATCTTCAATGTAGTATTCTAGTATATTTTCAATAGGTTCTGTGCTTCTTGTACTTGTTGTGAGTGTGATTGAGAGTAGGTACTTTCTGCTTTTGTAACTGTAGTATGATTAATTTGAGGTCTCTGTATGTCTGGTTTTATCACTGTAGTAATCAGGATTATGATCATTAGAATTATCAGACATCTAACAACACAAACGAATGAAAATACACTCTCGAACCTTTGTCTGGGATGGCGAGTCCCCTGCTTTTGTAGAAAACTATTTGGCGTCTTTCTTCAGCTGAGAAGGATGAAATAAAATATTGATCTATTAAAGTGGTATGCATGTAAATTGAAAATCAATGTCACCAATTTGAGGTAAAAACATTAACCTTCTGCAAAATCAGGTACCAGTTTATTAACTATGTCCTGATGAACACAATTGGTTCTGGAAGTTGAAAAGCATAGGATCAAATTTTGCCCACCTCTGGTACTTAAATGAAAATTAAATGGTTCTCCTTACTTAAGATTATACCAAGGATTTGTTTTATGCACAAGCTCATGGCATAGTGGACATTTGTAGTTGCAACGAACTCTCTCAAAATGCTTCACAATACAACTTCTACAAACTTAAAACATAGCCAAGTGTGAAAATTGTGCCATTATCACCCTCTAACCAATGATGGCAACATAAGTGTTGGACTAGCAGTTTGTGAAACACTTGATGAAATACTAACAGACATTCAGTTATTGATGTAGACATTCAGTTATTGTTGTAGCATCAACTAAATATCCTTGGCAAACTGGACACGTGATGTGTGAATTTAGTAATTTCATTTGGATTGACCTTGGTTTCTAAACACAACATAAAGACAACTTGTAATGTCGTGAAATCCTCTGTTATTAAATAAATGGTTATAGTTCACCAGTGCTAATTTGTCAAATTCTTCTTTCTATGACCTCTTAAGACAGACGTAGTGGTTTGTTTGTGTTGTATAAAATACTTAAAAAATATCAACATATATAGCAACTATTCTATAGTAGAAAAAAAGATGACAATTCTTTACCTCTATGGTTGTCATTGACATTATATCCATCATTTTGCATGTGTGCCATGCTTGGGCTTAGCTTGTAAGATCTTGGCTGACCAAGGTTTGCAGTCATTTTAACTGATTTAAATAACATGAGTGAGTGGCTTTTATGATTTAGTAAATTTGATGAAGGAACCTGGATTAATCATTGATAACAATGACATGTACCTAGTGTTGTTGACAAGACATGCACCTGTCTTTTTTGACAAATTAAGTCGAGACTCAAGTCATTCATTGATATTTTATTACTGTCTCTATTTACAAATTTTAAATGTTTTGAAGATTGCAAATGAGTGAAATGACTACAAGAAGAAGTGTATGATCAGTATAAATGAATGTCACAAAGTTACCGAATTAGATCACGTGACTAAAACATCATATCCAAGTCAGTGGATACTGGACTGCTGCTGCACTGCGGTGCACGTGGTGTGGGACAATGCGTGCAAAGAAAAACAACTGTACTGGAACAAAAATTTAATAAATATTTTTAAATATTGAATGTTATAGTGATTAAAAATAAAAGAACGATGAATTATAAAACATAAAAATGCTCTGGGAGGCCACAGAGACTTCAGAAAGTGAATGAACGACTCAATTATCAGCCCATGGTTGTTTTTCTGACGAACCAAATGCAAGATACAAGAGCATTCCAAAAACCTCGATGGCAGCCGTGATATAGAATACAATTGACCATTGACGATGAATATTCTACAAGAAATGTAAGTTATTTTTATACTTTTACTAATGGCTAATTGCATGTTTAATATGCTATTGGATTTAATTGAAATGTTATAAAAGCTCATTTATTCTTACCCCGTGCTCTGTAAGACTTCCAACCACTTCTGGTGAAATAAAACCAGTGATATTACAGGCAAAGTTAGAAATACCCATTAATACACTTGAATACTTTGGTGCAAGCTCGACCAAGTTTGCTCCTGGACCACTAGCTAAAGTTTGATACTGTAATTGCTATGGTTGCTATGACAATAGCAGTTGAGGCATTAGATGCATAAACCATGGCAAAGATAAAGACTCCACCTATTCCAGCACCTAAAGTATGAAGAGAACCACGAAAATTCAATATTGGAGAATAGATACTGTCAATTTCACCTTGTGTATCTCTAAAATAGTTTTGAGTATTCATTTGAACATTCAAATGTTTGTTAGTTTGCATCTTTAAACTTACAGAAAATGATCTGATTGGCTAACATATATAGATATTGACTAATCAGATTATCTTCCGTAAGTTTTGAACATGCAAACTAAAAAAAACACTTGAAAGTTTGTAGGAATATTCTAATGTTCAAATGAATGTTCCAAACTTCTTTCAGAAGAAAGTTAAAATCAACATTATGTTACCATGAAGTTTCATGTCCATTTTAGTACAACTGCTAAGGGGGTGAGTAAAATTTATTTTAAATAAAGCTTAGAAATGATGTTGGTATAATATTAAGAATACAGTTACTTCTCATAATGATGGTTTATGCAACATTTTATTCTCGTTCCCTCAACCACTTCTCTCAAGAGTCAACACTTTTTAAGAGAGTCATACTAATTATTATGGTTGCAAACTTATGAAAAAGCATGTGGTAAAATAAATCTTACCAAACAAATAAGAGAGTTTTCTGGCATTTGTTGTGCTTAAATATTTTCGTTTTCTCAACATATCTATGAAAAATCCCCATGCAGGTGTGAGAAGTCCAGCTACTACATAAGGAATGGAACTAGTGAAACCAATCTGTATAAGAAAAAAACGATATAAGTTCATGATGTTTTTCAAATGTTTTCATTTACTCTTCTCATTAATCTTATCTTACAACTTGTTTTGTTCAATTTATTGCATGCATAGGTCTTATTTCCAACCATTTGAACTTATGACAAAACAAATTCATTGAGGTTATAATAGAAGATTATTCTCTTAATTGAAATTTAAAAATAGGTACACAGAGTACATGTGGGTAGCCTAAATTTGCTCGGAGATGTAACAGATATTTGCAAAGCTAACATTTATATGAAATCCTTTGTTATTGGTTTAGACAACTGTCAGTGAAACAGATGTGGGTTGTTGCATTCCTTTAAGTCATAGCATTACAAATAGCGTTGCTAGTTTAAATTTCCATTAATACATCTTTTTTAAAAGTGGTTTAAAGTACATTTGTTAAGTTCTTTGTTTATATATACATTCAGCCTGAAAAATCATAAAAAGTCCACGAACCGTTGTTATATCTAGTTTATGAACATCCTTGAGATAGCTTGGAAATGAAAACATAAATGTGTAGAAACACCAACAATCCATGAAGACGGGAAGTATGATTGCCCAAACTCTTATCGATGTGAGCATACATCTCCATGGAATTTCACGAAATTTCAACTGTAAATACACACAGATGAACTGTTATGTTACAGATAAATAGTTCTTTCTGATCTGTCATACTTTAAAACTAATTAGTTTCACTACATGTATTGTATTGTTTCACTTCAATTTATGTTGTCTAGTGAATGAAGAAACAGAATATGATAAATAAATAAAGAAAATAAATCAAATATTTAAATTCAAGTAATATTGTTCAGTCATTTTAAGATATTTACTTTAGTTGTCCAGTGTTTTCCAATCTTTTGTATCTCAGATCGAGATATAGTAGGATGATCGGCTGGTTGTTCCACCCCCAGATACAGCCAACATAAATACCAGAGTACTCCTTGTGCTCCTTCAACAAATGCAAAAATGAAAAAATATTTTCTCGTTTAGGTGCAGCAGCTAGAGCAACTTTTTAACTTGGTTTGCTAAGTAATCATCACTTTTGTTATCTCCAGTTGTTTTGTTTTGCGAAATACGTCATGATTCAACAGTCAGTGTTGAAAACACAGGCAATTCCCCTTCCATCGAAATGGCTGAAAAAATATTCTAATGAAATATCTGCCACTCAAGGGTAGGGATTTTCCTATTTTCTGCACTGTGTGACTGGCGTTTTAATGGCACTTGAACGAAAGCAATAAAAGATTATCTTCTGTATGCTAGTATTCTTTGATAATTGTTTTGTAAATTTATGACGTAATGATTTATTTTCATTAGATCCTTGAAGAAGCGATGAATGAAAACTTACCAAAGAAGTAAAAAACGGACGGCCATCCGTATGAACTACCGGCCAGAAGACCACTTATTGAGTTCGCAAAAACTGTTCCCCACAGAAGACCTGCATGAGAGGATCATGGGTAAGTTTTTAAATTGTTGACGACGTTTGTTTATGCAAGATGTAGAAATCAAAATCTACTCATAAAACAGCGCTTTAAATGTTTTTGACGAAATCACAAATTTCGAAAGTACGTAACTAAAGCTCCGTTGCGCGTGCAAGCTCAACAGCTAGCGCTGCAAATTAATATAATATTGAAAATTATATTGATTTATCAGATGCACATACTTTATATGTATCTTACGAAAGCATTTATGTACAACATAAATGACTTCATAAATTACGATCATTCAATCACCTGCATATGAAAAGGTGACGAAAATACTCCTTTCGTAAATAGGTGACCATTTGCTTATTAAATCAATGCTTGAACTCGCCACCAAACCCTGTGGAAAAAAATCACATCATGTACAACTTCATGTAAATATCGAGATTTTTCTTCATAAAATGAATGGTTTGAACCCGGGAGTATCGTTACATGTTTGTACACGTAGATCATCCAGGTTAGTAAAGTCCTGGGAAGAACTGTTCTTGGTGGTGTTGACTGACGTTTCAAAAACCTTAGCGGTGATCATCTTCAAGTGCTGTCACAGTCAACATCAACATCAACATTCTTTCTCGAGACTCAACTAACCTGGACAATCTACGTCAACAAACATGCAAAAAAATTTCTTGCTACTTCCATAGGCTTACCAAGCAAGGAGGGCAGCCAAATTGTTAGACAAACCAGGTTAATCGAGCAATTTTCGATTGGACTTAATGATTGTCGTACATTTAGGCCAAACAATTGACGAAAAATTTTAGCGGATATTGTCGTGGCTATCTACACACTTTCACATAAATGCCCCAGCATTAACTATGTTTAAAACGCATTTAGGGTGACTATGAAAACTTGAATGGAATTTTCCTTAAGATAAAACTGTCTTATCATGTGCATGCTGAATTGTTTTGTGGAATAAAACTGACTAAAGTCGTCGCAATTTAAAGGTATATATAGCACATTCAACGACTAAAATCTCATCTCTATAGTTTGCTACACACTATCAAATAAGCTTTCATAAAGCTAAAAAGTTATACCTTACCAAGAATGCACCTTCCAGTACCCGTAGTACTATGAAGGCACTGACGTTCGCCCTAACGATCAGTGGTGTGAAAAGCGTAAGAACCGAGGAGCCAAAAATTGCAATACCAAGTAGAAATGAACTGCCATACTTTGCGCAAAGCAATCCTGCCGGTATTTGAAGAGCAGTATAGCTCCAGTAAAGGGACGCCAGAATTGTACCTGCAAACGTCTATCATTGTTACCAGTTGATTGCATCTGATATGACATTTTATTACATGGTGCTAATACATGCTGGCGGCATTAGAGTACTGCCATAAGCAATATTAGATGAATTTAGTAAACTTCAAAAATAATTTCTTATTACAACATACGAATGATTCCGCGACATTGTCACGAGGTCAAATAGATTGTTCGCCACCACACAATGTTAAGATCTGAAGCAAATCATTCCATTCTTGTGCACTTACTTTTCTTTACACAACCCCCCCCCTCCCCCCTCCACCTCCGTGTATTTATCTGTGCACAAAACTCCAATTACCCACAGCAGATATATTTTTCACGTGCATTCAACGAAGACGACTTACCTTGAAGTTGTGTGCTCCAGTGGAATTCTGGCTCCTTAAAGAGATAAATGGGACATTAGTCGGTGGTTTTTACCGTAATGCTTTGTAAAATTTCCTGACTTTCACAGACTATTAGATGAATTACAAACGTACTTGGCTGTGTATCAACTACCAGCGTACAATACCGCCGCTACATACTAACGTACTTGGCTGTGTATCAACTACCAGCGTACAATCATGCCGCCACATACTAACGTGCTTGGCTGTGTATCAACTACCAGCGTACAATCATGCCGCCACATACTAACGTACTTGGCTGTGTATCAACTACCAGCGTACAATCATGCCGCCACATACTAACGTACTTGGCTGTGTATCAACTACCAGCGTACAATCATGCCGCCACATACTAACGTACTTGGCTGTGTATCAACTACGAGCGTACAATACCGCCGCCACATACTAACGTACTTGGCTGTTTATCAACTACCACATACTACCACATACTACCGCCGCCACATACTGTATCATTTGCGAAGGAAAATCAAAATTGCCAAAGCTGTGATGAAAAACTGCAGCAGTAAACAAGAAGTCGAATTTGAAGTCTAAATCTAAACTTTAGCTTCTCATCTATATGTACGTATGGATAAGAGCAAGCATTGCATTCTTTTCTTGCCTCGTCTCTTGATAAACGAGATTCCGTTGTGTTTTGCTGGTCATCTTCTCCGTGCGTCATTGCTACAATGGTCACGTTCACACACATCCTTATGCAATACATGTTGAAATTAGCCAGTGCAATCATAACTAAAATTATGAAACGTTTAGGGATTGCTCGAAATATCCGTATCCCAGTGACTGGTCTTGATATCCTAGTTTGCGTTGTCGCTTCTCCGTCACTTATTTCACTGTTGAAACGGGTGAAACGATTGTGTTATTACATGTGGATGGAAGGATTGAATGGTGTTCAAACAGGGTGAAATAATCGTCATTTTACATGTGGATGGAAGGATTTGATGGGATAAGAAAGGTTCAGCGCATGCTCAGCTGTTAATCAACCATCAAGTTATTTTCTATTGGATTCTAAGCGCTTTAATTGTGTAGATGAATAGAGAAAGTGAAAATTTTGTTGATAAAAAGCACGCTTTGTGGGACACAGTTCAACTCGAGTCTACTTCACTTATCGCAAATGTGAATGGACGAATAGAACATGGGTATAAATAATGCCTATGACGGAAGTCTTCAGTTGGAAGTAGCAAGTTTTTAAGCCATCAAACTAATGATTTAGTCTATCGTGAACAAATTATACAATAAGCATGTTCTTACCAAAGTTCAATTTCTTCATCGTGGTGTGCCTCGCCATCCGATTGTGGACCTAAAAATCTACCCATTTTGTCATGAAGTTTTTTCGATGGTTCGTAAGATTCCTCCGTGAGAAGCTTCGTTAAGTCATTTTGGTTTTCCTCCTCAATTTCACCTTCAGAATTCATTCTTGATCAACTGCTCAATGTTAAATTCAAAATTGAAAATATTTTAGATGCGCAGGACTTAGCGAAGTATATAACTTTTTGTAGATTGTCATAAATTGTTATCGTCTTACCATTCGAGATCAACCTGATTTCTGGATATGATATTATTATTCTACCGATTTATCTTCATGCAGTCATTTAAAGAGGCTACGATACTTAATGAAACTAGAAGTGGGATCGACGCTTTCTAATAGAAATAAAATGCCTTTCGAATTGAGAAAATCAACCAAATCTTTTAAACTCTACTTACTGCGATGTCTTTCTTGTTGACAACAATTGCAGCAGGATACAGTTTATTAAAGATTTACATTATAATATCGATACAGACGAGGATATCTCTCGCTGACCTAAGCTTTAAGTGAAGGAAGAAATTGATGCCGAAGAAACGAAGAAATTACAGATGAATCAATAGAACATTTCTTCAATATTGTCTTCTAGTTTCATTTGAAAATTGTAAATGAAAATTGTTATTGGATCCAAAATTTTATAATCAAAGTTTCAAAGGTGTTTCTATTGTTTCTAAAATTCTAGTCAAGATAAAGTGCTAAATTTTGGATATTGAACCATCAACTATGGTGTAGTTTTTTACTTTTTTCAAATCAATAGTTAATTGATTGAAGTTTAATTAGCATTTGTAATCATGTGTGTTTGTTGCAAAATGTTTCAAAATGAGTTCATCCATTTCATCCAAGTTGTGATTAAACAATTTTAGCAGCTGATGACATATTTAGAAGCATTGGAATTTTAAATGTGGTGAGACTCGTTGATTTGGTTTGTGTTGCTTTGCTCTCCATTTTTGATGCCTTTTCTAGTAACAAACAGTTGCAGTGTTGTTTTCTAATTAAACCGTTCTCTAATAATTGTTGGTACCATTGAGGATTTTGTTCATATTAGTCTTGTTTCGTTTAAGACTTGCTAGAAACATCAAAACTTATCCATTATTTAGAGCTTGACAAGTTAGTACATAGAAAGGTTTTTTCATTTAGGATGCAAGCAAGTTAGATGATGACGTCATCATGTATAGACCACACTCTCGTAACGTTAAACAAGTATAATTTCATCCATTCAGAAACAACAGTTTTTTTTCCTCGAGTATTGATGGATATTTGAGACGTGAAATTTCAATGCTTTTACTTTTGGTTGGCAGACGTACCGTAGATAAAGACTTCATAGCTATTTAGCACCTTCGTTGTCTAAAAACTTGGTAGCATTTCATTGCGCATCCAGAACATTGCTTTTTTTATACTGTTCAACCATAATGGTATTTTCCATTAATGTTCACGATACAGGATTAAGGTACATTTTTATTTTTTTGTTAAAAGCACTGTTGCTTTATGAGAAGACTGTTGGTGTTGTTGTTGACTGACGTTTTGACAACTTTAGCCGTATTAACTCTACTAACCTGTACTATCTACATCCACAAACATGTAACGATATTCCCAAGTTCAAACCATTCACTTTATAAACATATATGAATGTTTTTCTAATTATAGATTCAATTTTATCATGTGGAACAAATGGAAACGTCCCCACTGTTGGAAAAGTTTGATCCAAACTTCACCACAATCACATCAATAAATGTTTTTCATCCGACAAAGAGCATTCTTGGCGCTGGAAATTCTAGTGGCAAAATTTATATATGGTCAGATTAAAAATAATCCTTGTTTTATTTTATCCCTTATTACTCAGGGAGATTTTTTTACGTATAGTTAGTTAGATGAATGGGTTTTCAAACAATCCATTTATATTGTTTTCATCTTTATGTGGAAATTATAATTTCTTTCAAAGTTAAATTTCTTCTTAACCACACGGTATGCAGTGGTTGCCCAGATAGTGGGGCACAAAGCTGCCACACTTGATCAACTACGGTGATCAAAAACTCAACGGCAACAAACAAAACTTCACGGCAATAAACAAAACTTCACGGCAACAAACAAAACTTCACAGCAACAAACAAAACTCCACGGCAACAAACAAAATTCCACGGCAATAAACAAAATTCCACGGCAATAAACAAAACTTCACGGCAATAAACAAAACTTCACGGCAATAAACAACACTCCACGGCAACAAACAAAACTTCACGGCAACAAACAAAATTCCACGGCAATAAACAAAACTTCACGGCAATAAACAAAACTTCACGGCAATAAACAACACTCCACGGCAACAAACAAAACTTCACGGCAACAAACAAAATTCCACGGCAATAAACAAAACTTCACGGCAATAAACAAAACTTCACGGCAATAAACAACACTTCACGGCAACAAACAAAACTTCACTGCAATAAACAAAATTTCACGCCGAAATAAACAAAACTCCACGGCAATAAACAAAACTTCACGGCAACAAACAAAACTTCACGGCAACAAACAAAACTTCACGTCAACAAACAAAACTTCACGGCAATAAACAAAACTCCACTGCAATAAACAAAACTCCACGGCAATAAACAAAACTCCACGGCAATAAACAAACTTCGCGACAACAAACAAAACTCCGCGGCAACAAACAAAACTTCACGGCAACAAACAAAACTTCACGGCAACAAAAACTCCACGGAAATAAACAAAACTTCACGGCAACAAACAAAACTTCACGGCAATAACCAAAACTTCAAGTAAATGAAAATGTTTTTGGACCGCATTTATACCGGAGAGGAAATTCGAACATTGCTTGAACTGTCATTTATATTTTAAGATTTGCAATCTGAAAACAGCGAGTCGTCTACTGAAGAGCTAAGAGAAGAATTCAATGAGAAAGCGACTATAAATTACTATTTTAGTTGTGGGTATGAGTACAATGAAATCCTTGGCTTTTTATCGAAGCACCACGGTTGAAACATGAGTTACAGTACACTTCTCAGACGCTTGAAAGATTATGGTCTTCAACGTCGACATGTAAAAGATTCTCCCAACTTCAATAATACATTTCAGAGGGTTCTGACAAGAATAAGAGAGCTAGTTATTGGTCCAGAGAATTCCATGAGCTACAAAGCGGTTTGGCGTTGTCTGCAATGGAAGGACTGAACGTTCCACGAGCCATTGTACAAGACTTGCTTAAACAATGGATCCTGAAGGAACAGAGCTTCGAAGGAAACATCGTCTTAAAAGAAGAGTATATAAAAATCCTCGACGTAATCAAGCATGGCACTTTGACGGATATGATAAATTAAAGCCTTGGGTATTTCCGATTCATGGCGCCATTGATGTTTCAGTAGGAAGATACTTTGACTTAACGTCACCCGTTCCAACAACTGACAATGTTGCACGCATGTTTGTCACAGCGATTAGAGAATTTGAAGGCTGTCTAGTTCAACTAATAAGTTATTTAGGGACTGAAAATAGGTTAGTGGCTTCTAGTTGGTCTTATTTTAGAGAGACGATTGATGCTCATCATTATGTTGCTTCACCGCGAAATCAGCATATTGAATTTCGGTGGTCGTATTATGGTAGACTTCATTCAATTGTTGGAGAAATTTCTTTGCTGATATGGAGTCACAGGAAATTTTGGAATAATCAAGTGAACTTCACATGGAATGCCCTTGGTACTGCTTCGCTGACGTCATACAGAGGCATCTTAATTTTATTAAGAATCATTGGAATAAGGTCAAGACATGACACCGTTTCCGGAAGACCGAATTCACTTTTTTTCTCCCAGAGCAGCACAATGGGATCGATAATTTGATTTTTAAAGTTCCAAACGCAGAAATCGTATACGTCGAACAACATATTTTACTTCAGCAAGTATTGAGTACCAAGAGTATTTTGAATATGCAAGAACAACACTTGCACTTTCACAACCAACAAACTGGGAGGAAGCATTGGCATTGTACATGACTCTTACTTGTGTTGCTCCTCTAATTGTAAATAACCATTTTTTTCAACTAGCTCAAATCATTTCAAACATCTCAGTACCAATGTTAATTGTAAATGGATGGAATTAAAAACATCAAAAAAGTTTTTTTTAATATTTTCATGTGCAACACAAAGTATGAATAAAGAAGAGCTCGTTGACTCCCTGCAGTATGCTTCTTATTCATCACAATTAAGTTATCACACAGCTCTGGTGAGAAAAATGTTGTGCAGAAAGAATGCATTTTTCTTTTGAATTATTATTATTTATATTAATGTCGTTGTGGATATAACGGACGTCGAAAATAATAAAAAATAAACCAATTTGTTGACGTGACTCAATTCTTTTCTAACACTAATTTCAACATGGTTGAATCTTGTATGCTCACTGATTTTTCAGTTTCCTTAAAATGGTTTTCCTACTCCTCAGTTTCCCGATTCCCAGGTTGCCTTCAAGAACTTAGGCTCTTTTACAACTTCTGGCTAAAGGAGTGTCTCAATTCATTGGTGTCAACGCTATAGCAGTGCACCATCGACTAGATCGTTCAAAACGTGATGTTATTTGTCCAATCAGAATTGATATGCAGAAGATAATTACTCGTCTCTCCCACGAGAAACTCGTTACAAAATTCGTTGCAATTCGAGATTAATGTTGCCCGCGCTTAGTTCCAAGTATATATAACTGAGAGTACGTTAATTTACACTTGTTCATATAATTTTAAAATGTTTATTTCTTTTAAAAAGTTTATCTAAAAAGGTTGATTTTATTTTAAAAGGTTGAAAGTAAAACAAAATCATTATTAACGTTACTCTCATGATCAAAGCCTAAATACACCAGAGATACTTAACCGCTAAATATGTTAAATATTGAGAAGTTATAAAAATCTAGTTGTAAAAAATGTAAGAATACCTTTTCACTCACTATTGTAGTGATTAAAGACAGATACGGTGCTGGTGTGGCACATAAACGGAGTTGCCCACAATGTGGTTGTGAAAGTGAGATTTTGAGGGCTGGTGTTTACAGTTCAGCTAGTGGTTGCATAAGTGCTTATTCTGAGGATGAATCATTCACTTGCCCTGAGTGTATTTATTATGCTGAACACAAAGGTATATAACTAGGAAAACAGCAATTGACGCAATTTTATTAATGAACTTCAGTTATTTAGCTACCACTCACTAGAAACTAAAGAACAAATTTTATTGATTTACAGAGAACATATTAATTCCTACTTTTCTTTTTATCCAAGATAACTTACATATTTTCATGGAGGTAAATCTGATGTACCATTCTGAGGGAAGATGTGCCTCTGTTGCGCAAATAGGCAGCAGTCAAATGTGAATTTTTTTAGCTTGTTATCTTTTAGTAGCACAGATATAAGTAGCTTTTTAGAAATATGCACAGAAATTCTACAGTAGCTCGAAACATATTAGCTTGTAACAATTCTATCTCTTTTGGTTATATAAACTTAATTATAAACACTGAAAAAATTCTTTGCATGGCAAAGTGCAAGATATCTCACATATGATGAAGTGCTATATGCTGCTAAAGAAAGCTTGGCAAAAACTCAGTACATTTCAATGTTGTAATTAATGCTTATGACATGATATTGTATCATGAGCATAGTATGAAATATTACTGTGCTTTTTTGCTGATTTCATTTAGAATAATATCCCAATTGCTTAGTTTATCTGTTTTTCAGGTCTGCAAGATACTAAATGTAAAGTAAAAAGTTTTTAAGGTTTCATGAAAGCTAAAGGAAGCGAATGGAAAAGTAAAGTCACCAGAAAAGAAAAAGTAAATAAAGACGTTGAGGTAGTAATTAACATTGGCCTAATGCAATACAAAGATGTCTATCTTAAACCAGTTAGAGGAGAAAGGATAATAATATAAGTTTCTGCTATGGCAACATACAAGGATATACTAGTAGTAGTTTCGTATGGTAGTCACACCTCCATGTGTGTCTCATCAAGCCATCTTACGAAGTCATTATCTGCTTTATGCACTGTTGCGTAGCCGCCTTCAATGCGTGTGAACGGACATTGCAGGATGATATGGTCCATATTCTGGTTGGTGGCATTACATGATGGGCAAGTTTGTGAGTCCCATCGGTACAGGTTGTTTGCTGTTCTGCCCTGTTTCGATCTTATTCGGTTACAAGTGCTCCATTGTTTACGAGTTAGCTTCTTGAAACCAGGGAGAGGGACATTTGTTGGATCTTTAATTTGATCAGCACCCCTTGGTTTATTTTCGGACCATTGTTCCTTCCATGTATTGTTGAGGTCAAACGATTAAATCTTGGAGTTATAAAAAGGTTTTCGTGATTTAAGTCTCGAAGTAGTTGGGGCAGACTGGATAATAGTTTTTAGTGGAGTGTCAATTAGTGTATTTTCAATGCGATGATGTTGTTTCTGTGTTGCTTCCTGTCTGCGTATATTAGGTGTTGGGGAAGATAGCTTAACGTTTGAAAAAGTCAAAGGCATGTTGTTGAATGATGTGGACAGAATGGGTGATGAAAGGAAGGATGAGGATGCCTATTCCGTTCAAAGAGGTAGATTCAACAATGACAAATCAACTCATGGAAAAGGGAAAGAACGAAGGGATTATAAGGAACAATTTCAAGGAGTTTGTCACAATTGCAAGAAAAAGGGACACTTTGCCAGAGACTGTCCAGAACGTTATAGAAGAGGTAATAAGCAACAACATGGTGATCAAAATAAGGGATCCGTCCATTGTGCAGAGAAAGATGAAGCTAATCTTGATCAAGAAGCTTTAATTACATCCAACTGTGGAGATAATGTCCACTGGATTGTAGACTCAGCACATGACATACCAAAAGAACTGTCTATATGATTATGTGGATTTCAAGAAGCCATGCATTGTAAACCTAGGAGATGATCGAACCATATCAGCGTATGGAAAAGGATCATACAATATTTTGGCAGATATCAATGGTCGTACCCAAAATATTAGTCTTCGTGAAGTACTGTATCTTCCAGAATTAGGAAAAAACTTGTTATCTGTAAGAGCAATGACAAGATTGGGCGCCTCAGTAAAGTTTCAAGAAGATGAATGCTTAATCTCA